CGAATCTTTCAAGCTTGGTGTCACAGTTCGAAGCTTGGGAAAGGGGCGGGACCTCTTGAATTCCCTCAGCCTCAGCGAATCTCAGGCCACGCTTTACGAACTCGATGTTTCTGACGTCAGCCGCATTGAGGACATTGTCGCATGTGCGAAGGTAGTCATTAACGCCGTTGGGCCTTTCTGGCTGTATTCCACCCCTGTGATCAAGTGAGACGATTCAAGCTGGTTCTCTACTGGATATTGAGATCTCAACGTAGAGCATGCGCACGTCTTGGGATCAACTATGTCGATATCACTGGCAAGTTACTCACGCGGTTCTGCGTACCACTCTGACACAACTTTAGGCGAAACGTTCTGGATATACAAAATTCTCAACGAGTACGACACTTGCTCATTTTATACACGCAAATTAATGTTTAATCAGGGTGGACACGCTCGCATCGCGTTCTGGTGCCATTATAATTCCCTCGTGCGGGTTTGACTCTGTCCCGGCCGACCTCAGTGCGTTCCTGTCGGTCAGGACGCTGCAGCAAAGCTGTGCGGCGAAAGGCATCCCATGGCCTGGTGCCACCACATCCGAAACAGGCCTCATCGGGAAGCTCACCCCTAGCGGCGGCTCGCTCGCCACGATGCTTCTGGCATTCTCCATAGTGCCTCGCGACATTCTCTCTGCCATCACCAAGTCCTATTGTCTTAGCCCCGGTACGTTGCAACCTATCGTAAACTAATGATACTGAGGCGTACCTTAGTAATCGGCCTCAATCAAGATGTATTGGTCACTTCTGGGAAGTCAGCGTATCTTCGAGGCCGGTACAAGTCGCTATATCCACTTGCGACATCAGATAGGGCGATCGTTTTGCGCAGTTGGGGCCTCTTCGCGTTGCAAGATCAGGGACTCGTCTCAGGCTCGGGAAGCCAGACGGCAAGCTACGGCGATAAATTCACGTATGAAGAGTTCTTTGCCCTGAAGAGTGGTGTCGCTGCATTTTTTCGAAACGCCTTTCTTGTGTTAGCGGGGGTTCTGCTTCTTGCGCCGCCGGTGCGCGATGATGTCTTTTACCTCTTCACTTGCGGTTACTCATGTCTTTCCCTCAGGTGAGATGGCTAATTAGTAAAGTCAGTCCGGCCGGTTCTGGCCCACCCCAGCAGTGCGTGCTTCACACATCCCACTTCTCGAACTCATACCGCTCATCAGGTCGCTTGAACAGGGCCGTTTGAAAGTGGTCAACGTGACTCGATTGGATGGAGAGCACCCTGTGGATGCACGAACCGAGATTGTGTTCCATGGTGACGCCGGCTACCTTGGCACTAGTGGTGAGCGTTTTGCGTATGGCAGGAATCTCGTTCCTCACATTTTCCATCCTAGTTATCATTTCTGAGGCCGCTCTCCTGCTATTGCGAACGCCACGGGACCGGCTGAGCCCATTTGCTCGTCAAGGCGGTCTTCTCACCTCCGCAACGGCTCTGGGTTCGCTTCTAGCTGAGCGCCTCTCGCAGACTAGATTCATCGACATCTCTAGCACAGTTGTCTCAGAAGAGACTCTAAAAACGCGCTAAAGCTGAGCCGTTTGGCTTTCGCTAGTTGATCTCGAGGCATGCTTTGTCTATTGCTATAGTAGATCAATCTTGCGCTTCTAGCTATACAACCCAAAGGCGGAGCGACGCATTGTCTAGATGCGGTCGTAGTAGGATACGTGACAGATGCGATGTAGATCATGAGAGCGCGACAGCAGAACGATTGCACGGCTGCTGACTAGCGAACCGGACAGCGGTGGTCGCGGTTGCGGTCGGCGTGAGACGGCGGACGGCATATACGGCGTGCGAGTCGTCAGATATTGTGCCTGAGCGGCGTGGTGGCTTTTGTTACAGTGACAGAGCTCATTGGCCACTGCATTGTGGCAGGAACCTTTGAGGCGAACCAGTGTTTTGTCGATGGTGTCGAAGTTCTGAGACAGGCTAGTAAGAAGGCTAGCGAGTGCAGAGAGGGCAGACGCACCGAGCGGTGATGTCGTCTCAAACAGGCGGGTCCAACGCATGTCGTTTGATGGGCGGAGCTATTCTTGCAGAGCTCGTTGCCACAGTCGACGACTGCGTTTGGTGTCGGTCGTAAACGGACCGCATGCTGAAACATTGCCGATCGGCCGTTCAAACACTGCCCCCAGGAATGAGAAAATTTGCACGTACACCGCAGCCACTGTACTTGTTGACATCCCTGACAAAGTGCGTGGTACAAGTTTAGGTTGAGTGGGTTGGATGGGCAACTCTCAGCGCACCAGACTTGGAGGCACATGCTGGAGGTGGGTGGCACTACAAATGCCAGTGTTTCGGGTGAGGAGATTGCCAAGGGAGGGAAGTGGATACCAAAGTAAGCGACCGAGATGCCGTCGGCTCTTTATACCGTTTCAGAGGGTGTCAAACAACGTGGGCTCCTCCTTGCGCGCGCGGTGGTTTCATTGTCCAAGCATCCGTTCGGCACGACATCCCGACGGGGCGCAGCGTGCGTCACGTATCGTCAGATTGGGCGGCCAAGGCATCACGACTTCTGAAGACTGCGCGGTGGACTGCCGTAGATAGCATACCTGTGTGACTCATGCACATAGTTATCGCAGTCGCTCTCCTCTCCTCTCGTGGTACGGCACGAAGCATCGTTTGCACCCGATCGCGCCCGACGGCAGGTTGGAGCGCCTTTGATGCCATCCCTTGGGCGTGGCCAATGTGACGAGAAGAGTTAACAATTCAACGAGCACGGTGTATTGTTCAGTGCTTATCTCTTGCTCGGGCACGAGTTCAGGGCGATGTCGAACTCTGAACCGATGAAGCGCCCCGGACCTTCGACAACTGAAGCCACGAGAGGAGAGGATTCCCTCAGCGATCCCTACTCCAGACCGCCTCTGATCCCCAATGCAGGCAGGCAGGCGAGTCGGAGGTTGGTCATGTGGTCTGCAAAGGCCCATAATGCGCGGAATCAGGAAAGACCTTCTCCTACCCGCGAATCCCACCTCCGCGAACCAGGTCTTGCTTCTGCGTGAGACAACGCAGAATCGTATGCGTTCCGCGGGCTGTTTGAAGGTGGCCATCGCCCTCTAAACCTGCAAACATGTTGCGTGACCCCGGCGTCAGGCCTCGTGGACTGTGACGTTTCACGATCGGGCGGGCTTTTCTTCTACATTCAAGGAACGCGCTCTGCTCGGCGCGGCGGTCTCGTTTTACAAATGTCATCAACAGCCGAGCGATAATCGGCAGGTGCATAGTCTGATGGCCGATGCTAGTCCGCTTTAATCAGAGAGCCACATCGATGCGTCGAGCTCGCCTCTTTCGGATACGGCTTCGCGTTGAAATGAATGCATTGCATCGCTCACGTGGCTTGCGATAGACGCATTAGGTGATCCGTTCAATCCCAAAGGACGTCCCACGCCAGCCAGGGAAGATTCCCTCTTACTGGAGATAAAAAGAAGTGATATTCCCCTTTCAAACGTAAGGTACCTTCACCAGACGAGGGGCGTCATCGCCCCCGCATTCACCCTACATGGCCTTCGTGCGGAACTTTACCTCACGGGGTATTCGTTGTCTGCATTTGCTTCATTAGAAATCGTCTCGATGGTATGAACAGCCTTTGGGGCAAGCGCTCCAACGATTTCGGTAGATGGTGCTACCGGTCAGTTTGAGGTAATATGGGGGGCAAGACGAGTGGCTTTTCCTCGCGTCCCTGTTTAGAGCAAACTCTGAAGGGTAAGAGGCAGGTGAAGTCGTACGAGCGAAAGGAATGGTGTCGTCAACGGGACACATGACACCGCAGCCCTGAGAATGCGCAGGGTTTCAAGAAAGAACCCTGGTGAAGCAGGGGCACACTTGGCGGCTAGAACGCAGGATTGTGAATAGTTTTTCAACATCGTCTCATTAATCGCCTTTTGCGCGCGGAAGCTCCCGGAGGTCGTTCTTACATCCTCAGAATGCGAGTGAGAGGCTACGGGGGACTTTGACGCGTCAGCACAACTTCTAGTTGCACTGCCGGAGTCTGCCCAAGCTTCAACGCGAGTGCTGACGCACCCGCAATTTCCGCAATTCTGACCCTCGTTTTTGTAGACCCCTTACATCAACCAGCACGCATTCGCTGCTGTGTACATTTTGGGCAACTTTGTCAGCTTCATGCCCCAGTGGTAACCCAACCGGTCTGTGGTAGTATGACAACAGGGGTCCACCGAATGAGTGCAGGTGGCCTCGGTGAGTAGCCGCTCTTAACAGCATTGCGAGTATGCGTAACAGGGCGACGCTGGCCGCCTTGGTCTGTTGTATGCATGAGAAGGGGTAAAGATGTTCAGGTGCATCCAGGGCAATCGAATCAGGGGAGCCGATGCCCCGTGGTAGCTGCATTTTCCCCGCAAACGTGGCTGCGAGGGGGGACGGGAGTCGCAAGGAATGATATGAACACTGAATGTGTGAACTCGAACCCGCAATGATAGATGGACAGCCCTCAAAAACGACCACGAGACCCATCACCTGTTGGTAAGAGGGTGGTGTGTACACGTGTAGCCACGGTGGCTAGACTCTAAATGAGGACAACAAGATGGAGAACGGTGACGGGGGGTGACGACTGTACTCGCCGCCGTGTGATGTTTATCGAATCGGCCACGAGTCATGCAAGGACAACACAATGTAGAGCCTAGGTGTGGAGCCCACTCGGACCACCAAAGTCAAAAACATGTACAGCTCTGCATACTTCAAGGAAGCACGCGCCGACGTGAAATGATCTGCAATGAACAAGGGAAGAGGGGAAGCGGTTTTGCCGGTAACTCGGAAGTTCGCGACCAACGAGTGAAGTTCCACCACTCTATCACAGGCAAGAACATCCCACGGTCATACCAACCAATGTCTTGAGTGATATATCCTCCGATGGACAGTGGGTCGTCTTCCCATTTCCCTGGTAGTCAGAAAACATCAGATCTATGTGCAGCATGAACATTGGAAAGTGGTTTGTACTGGTTACTCTTCCCACTTTCTTTAAAGCCCTTATAGCTCAGTGGTAGAGCGCGCCACTCGTAATGGTGAGGTCCGCCGTTCAATCCGGCGTGGGGGCAAACGCCTTTTGCTTCCGTGCATTTTAATCTCGAGATAAATATCATTTATTTTTGACATAAATGCATCTTAGACACGACATTTTGCTTTGCTCTGACATTTCTCGTTGTTCAAAGAATCCAGCTCTTTCATTTCAGAATGATAGGAGTTCCTACAGCTATGTTAGTAATGAAATAAGCAGGTCCATCTCAAGAATCAGCTATTGCAGAAGGGGTGAGTCGAAGGACCGCAACGGGTTGGTTTCCCACAGCTGGCGGTACAGTTGCAGCAACACTCTATAGGGTTGTTACATTACCCACGGCTGATCCTGATTAGAGCCAAATGCACCGCACGATACTCCGTCAGATGGGAGGTATGAGATCTTCTCACCAGCCGTCGGGAATTTGCATGCTGGCGCGAGTTCGTGGGACAGCGCACGTTCAGGTTCGGCTTCCGTAAATACAGCCCAGTGGTTCATAACCGTGCGATGCTGATATTCTGTGCATGCCATGATCCGAGAGAGGTGGTGAGCATCGATGTTGACGGCTTGGATCTTGGCGGCGGTAGGTGCATGCGCATATCGTTGAGCAACACGTTTCGCCATGTCAGACGTCAAAGGGTCGCGCGCTTTGGTTTCAATTGCCTTCCCTCTTGCCATGACTGCGGATCCAAGTGTGAAGGAAAAGTGAGCTGTTGAAGAAATGTGGCAGCAAGTTTGGTGGGTGGAACAGGAGCCTGGAGCACGGTGGAAATAGCGGTGGTGGCAAGGTTGGGCGGAACAGGAGCCTGGGAGCAAGGAAATAGGTGCCAATGCGCGTTGCGCAACGCCAGTGAGTGGTTATAGAATTGGTGTTTTGGCCTAGAGTATGTGTGGGTATGGGCGTGGGTCGGGGTATGGGACGCGGTTGAACGAGCGCATCGCGGACTTTTGAATAACGCGCGCCGTTTCGCTGGTTCCAGCAATTACCAAATTGATTAAAAGGTGAAAATTTTTATCCATAGATTCAAGGTACAGCTCGATACGACGAAATATGGCGGCGGCGGCGCCGGGTGAGCACCACCACCGGGGATGCTCCCTGAATCCGGCATCGTTCAATCCGGCGTGAGGGCAGTTCTTTTTCGTTTTGTACTCGGTTTGCGGTCTCGGGCGAAGCGAAGCTTGGTTGCCGTCAATGCAGATATCATTGGATCACCACACTCTGTGTGACCTCAGTTCTGTCCTGTTCGATTTAGAGGTGTCCTGTTGATCGACGCTGTGCGTAATGTTGGATGCCGGTGGTTACCAGGTCAGCCCTCTTCGCACAGCTTAGACTTTGGATTTGACGACTGCTTCGACACGCAGGCACAATTGCCTATCCGTCCCTTCATTACAGCCATTCTTTTCTCTTGATCATGCGTGGTCTGATTCCCCTGCTCCTGGCCGCAGGTGGGAGCTGTTTCAAGATTACCTTTAGCAATAAGTGCAACTTTGGTAAGCTTCAATACTCGGACTTAGCTCAAGGCAGAATCTCACCTTTCTCTATCTTTCTTGCCAAGATGTTTGGCCTGCTGTGGGTCTCGCGCCGAGCGGTCGTCCGGACACCAAGTTCTCATGGGGTGCGCTGGCCAAGAGCGGTCAGTCAGTTTCTGTAAACGTCGATGACAGCTTTCTGGTGCGACTCTCGGCTACTGCTCTAAAGAGCACCTCTCAAACGTATTTACAGGGTGTCCGCGCCTGGGGCCGTACGGGCTGCGATTCGAACGGTTCTAATTGCAAGACTGGTGTGTGATCGTGCGTGCGCTGTCGATTGTTGTGCTCATAGCGACTGCAAACCAGGTCGCTGCAATGGCGGCCTCACCTGCACCGATGCAGGAATCACCAGTGGTGTCATTGTTTCCGAGTACGGGGTGAGCCCAATGACCCCAAACATTCATCCGACTTGTGCATGACATGGCCCTTCCAGTTCGCCGACTTCGGTCAATGGGGTGGCGAGCGCACTTCCTGGGATCTATCGCGCGTTGATTTACAAATCAACATTGACACCCAACTTGTTGCTTCGGACGGTCAGATGGTCAAATGCACGACGGCGAGCTGTCCGAGGGACCAAGCATACTTCGCTTCCAACGACTACGGATCAGATCGCAACTCTGACATTGGAACGGCATACACACACGTCTTCTGCCCGTGAGCCAGAGCTGCTATTTCAGTTACGCTCCCGCTGAAATTCCCGCAGCGGAGGAACGCCAGCCTCAAACCCAGCGTTTCCACCGCAGAGCGACAAGCCCACATCTTCAACCCCACCAAAGCCTTCTTCCGGTCCGTCTGCGACCTCCAAACACTCTAAATAAGAGTCTGATGTTGCAGCAGTTGTCTCCTCGTCTCCCCAAACGCCGTCGACTCCTGCGAGCGATACTCCTGATACTCCTGCCACCAGTCCGTCTTCATCCTCTCATACATCTAGTACGAAAGATCAAACTAAATTTACCCCCACCTCTTTGGCAATTTCATCCGCGCCCCCTCCCGCTTCAACTACTCCTCCACAACCTTCTGCTCCTTCAATCCCGAACTCTGTGCCTTCACCTTCTTCCACAATCGCCGCGGACCTCACATCAACAACAAACAATACCTCAACTTCTGCAGCCACCACGGGAAAGAAGTGCAAACCCCTCTCGCGCCGCCGCATGGCCTCACTGGTCCGCCGCCAGTTATACCTTGCTTCAATCTCTGCATGATCAGAGCCTTCCCGGGACATCACACAGCCTTTATCTTTCTTCTCATCCACACTGCGTGCCATGCGTGCCACCTTTCAAGCACAACCAACCACAACCAACTTTATTTCACTCCTTCATATTCCTTCGTTCGTGCTTGGTTCGGGGACATTTGCGTAGGCCATCGCCATCTCCTTCTCAAACTGCCAATGTCTCCATTTTCCTTTCTTTACCCGTCTGCGCCGTTTTCTGAGACAGCAGGACTTGTCACATATCAGCAACAAGCGCAGCGTTGTAGCAACACTGCTTATCTCAACTTTGCCATGTTGTATCTGATGTTAGAAATCTTGTCCAGCGTGTGATGGTGGTCACGTTCCTGGCTTCGCACAATGACCAAAGCATGTGAGCTGGCAAGCTGGCATTTGTGCAATTGTGAGCAAGAAAAATGACGACAGTGCCGCGGAAATTCGTGTGCGTCAGAAGGAACGTATCTGGCGTTTTTTCCATAAAAAGGAGGTCGTGAGAGGGGCGTCTTCATGAAACCGCAATGGTCGCTGAGCTTGAAACGCATCTCGTTATGCTACGAGCTCTTCTCGCGGATTAATCCTGGCTAGAAGTTGACCGGACAGTCATCGCACATGATCTACATCTTATGCGCTGCGTGAAATGTTGTCTCTGCATATCGTGCCTGTGGCGCAACGGACTTTACACGTTTTACTTCCAAGGTACTCGCACCTTGTCCGGCGCGCTGCTTCTGCGGTAACGCTCGGTGTAGCGCGCTGCTCACTTGGCGCGTCATGGGACTCGAAACTCTGTGTTCCCATATAGGCTGCGTCTTGCCGAGAAGCCCAGCAGACCGTGTGTGCGCCTTTCGCGTGACCTGGCATCTATCCAGATGCCTTGATGTTGTGGTTCCCTGCAGACGCTTTCAGAGGCCCTGAGAAGGCGTGTATGAGTTCACTGCTGGTGCCACCTCCTCAGTCTCGGACTTATCCCCGAGATTAGCAGCTCACAATATATAGCGACCCCAATAGTACGCAGCACATCGCTTCCACCGAACTTGGTTCGTTGTCCCCATAGGCAGGATGGTCCGCCTTTCCTGGTCTGTGGCCCCAGCACTCCTTGCCAGCATCGATGCTGTCCTTGGTTTGGGAACGACTTGCAGCACACCTCTTGGTGCTGGTACGGCAGCATCAGGCTCGCCGTACTGGCTGGTCAACATGCCAACCCGTGGTAAATCTGCGTTCAACTCTGATTCTAGCTATACTATCCGCCGAAATGTCAAAGACTTTGCAAGTAATCCACTCTTCCGTTTTGACTTGCACTCAAACTTCCTGCCACTATTCAGGGCGCGAAGGGTGATGGTGCTACGGACGATACCGCCGCGATCAAGTGGGTACAATGAGTATCACTGGAGGAATGTGGGCTAACAGCACGACAGCAACGCAATTTCGAGCGGCGGACGTTGCGGTCAGGGATGCGGCCAGTCGACAATCACGCCTGCGGTCATCTACTTCCCTCCAGGGTGAGTGTTGTGCAATCAGCGTGCCCGGAGGCGCGCATTCTTGGCTCTTTGCGAACATGCTGCCACCAACCACGCTGCCTCATGCCTGTCTATCCATGAAACGCTGATTCGGCAATTCAGAACGTACAGGATCTCTACGCCAATCATCAACTACTACTACTCAGCATTCATCGGTAGGCCATTCCGCATGCGTGCAGGTTCCGCTCTAACAATCCTCGTTCCTAAAACTGACGATAGGCGATGGACGCAGCTGGCCCACAATCCAACCTTTTGCCAACTTCAGTGGTATTGCTCTCATCGACGCCGGTAAACTCGAATTGAGGTATGCCGTCACGGAGCTGACATGAACCCAGACCCATACCTTGGCGGTGATGCTCAGTACTACGTGAACCAGAACAACTTCTACCGCAGCCTGAGGAACATCATCCTGGATTTGCGCACTCTCCCCGTCTCTTCTGGCATCAACGGCATTCACTGGCAGGTCTCTCAGGCGACTCTGATCTCCGGCCTTAGCATCCTCATGTCACAAGATGCCAGCACCAACCAGGTCGGTATGTTCATGGTTCGTCGTCTCTTTTGGAATATTATGATCTTCGCTTACTTTTCAACAGGAGAACGGTTCTGGTGGCTTCATGGGTGATATCACGGTTCGCTACACAGAAACTCATGGTAAACCTTGTGTTGACTCTTTCTGATCTCAGGTCTCTGGTGGCAAAATGGGTCTTAACCTCGGCAACCAGCAATTCACTGTGCGTAACGTGACCGTCACCAATGCCCAGACTGCTATCTACGTGAACTGGAGCTGGGGTG